GAAGCAAACATATCTTTGATACCAAAGCCAGGAAAAGACACCACCAAAATAGAAAACTATAGGCCAATATCTCTCATGAATATTGATGCAAAAATCCTGAATAAAATACTGGCAAATAGAATACTCTCCTAGCCATTTAAAAAATAATCTTCAGCAAGATTCTGCTTGCAGAGGAAGATGAAAGATGACTGATGCAAGAGTCTTACAGAGCACCTCACAACCAGCCTTCAGACGACCTTGGTTTGAGTCCTTGTTCTACTGTCTTTATTACTTTTTCAACCCTGAGAAGTCTGTTCACCACTCTGGAAGCCCCTTCTCCATTTGTGGGAGGAGAAAGTAATAATAGCTATTTCAAGTTACAATTAGATCACTTGGCGGAGAGGAAGGGGACAATGATGGTGGAACTGGAGCCAAAAATGCTGTCCCTGGCCACAGTCCCAGTTTGCTCCCTTTCCTAGAGGTAACCTGAACGCTAAGTCTGGATCCTGAACCTGAACCCTAAGCCTAGTTCCAGAGACAAAAGGGAAATATAACTGCCAGTTAAGGAAGCAAAGGTGGATGGAGCCTCAAAGTTCAGTTAGCCACTCCCACTGGACTCACCCACACAAACACCTTGCAGTCCAGAGGGCAGGAAATGTCCTGAAAATATTTTCTAACAGAACAAGAGGCATGCAGCTTTGACTCAAGACTGCTAGTAAAGTGTTAAAGTGAGTTCCCCTTCCCCTTCATCTCAATGCCCCTGTTCAGCAAGAAGCAGCCAGTCTGCATCCCTATTCTCAAATAGGAAACACACAAACAAAAAAGACAATCTCTTTGTAAAAAAAAAATTAATCAGCATTGGGAAAAATAAAAGAGATATGATTTAAATGTTTCATTTTTAGCAAGGATTCTTAGAGACAAAGTTACAGTTTGTGGCTAAACTGTAGTGATAAGAATACTCTGGAAGTGAATGATAAAAATGTTCCCTTCAAAAACTGTTTATATAAGATTGTGATTCAGAGAAATTACTTGCCCAGAAAATCTGTGACATTATCAAGTATTTATTTATAACTCATATGTAATCCTGAATCCTGGCTCATGCCCCCAGCTCCACCACAGAACATGATGGGAATTCTTTCAGTATAATCTTCATTTTGGGTTACCTTAACTTGGCTTGCTTTATTCCAACACTAAAGCTCCATTGACTGGTGGCCTAGTGGCAAGAAGCTGCCCTGCAATCCCAGAAGTGTGTGGTTCAAATCCACCAGATGCTCTGTGGAAGGAGGGGCAATCGCCTCCTGTACCAGTCAGATCCGATTTGATGGTACACACATAAATAACAATAATAATAAAGAAATTTTTTAAAAAGAAAAAGCTTCATTGATTTTCTCCTGGTGAAAGTGTAAAAGTTCATCCTTTTATACTTCCACACCTTTAGGCTAGTCATTGAATGCAACTCTTTGTACCATACGTGCTAGACAGTAGGAATCTTGGAGGCAAGATTAGAATTGGGCCTATCACATAAGTGGCAGTTCCAGTCTTAAATTCAGATCTTCTTGCTCCAAAGTCTGTACTTTTGATCACCTAATGCAAAGGATATAGGGACTAAGAAATTTGTAGGTTTTAGGAGAATCAAATTTAATTGAGCTGTCCTACAGTGGGTGCTCAACCCTGACAGGGGTACTTCTTCTACTCCCCTCTGCATACACACTCAACCATAGCAAATACTTGGAGAAGACTCTGAGTGGAGGAATTGCCACAGAAAATTCTTAGACTATCAAGTTCGAATTCTATGCCTGGCTAGGCAATGGAAGACCAGCAGAAATGTCTTCTAACTCCTGTCTCAGACTATAAATGCAATTTGCTCTTCCCATACTAAAGAGTTGAATAGAAGATTTCAAAAGGCAGCACGGGATGACAAAGCAAAATTTTACAATGAAATGTGCAAGGAGTTGGAGTCAGAAAATCAAAAGGGCCGAACTCGCTCAGCATATCTTAAGCTCAAGGAACT